AAAAAAAAAAAAAAAAAAAAGAAAAAAGAAAATAAGTAAATGAATAAATAAATAAAATGAAAATAAAAAATCAGTTCAGCCAACCTCTCTTGACCACACTTTTTCCTTTAACTCCTGCCTTCTTTCTCTGGACCTCCTCCTTTTACAGGAAAATTCCTTGAAATATTTCTCTATTCTCATTGTCTTCGATTCCACTCCACCGGCTCCCTCTTGAACCTACTTCTATTAGACTTTCGTCCTACTCAGTGCCAAAACATTCAGTGGTCAATTTGCAGGTTTCACCTTACTTGATTGTCTGCAGTATCTTACAGAGTTCATCATTCTTTCTTTTTAGAAACTTTTTTTCATAATTATTTACTCCCCTCTTATTTCCTCTCCTGCCTCCTGCCTCCCCTTCTCAACCTCCTTTCCTAATTTCCTCCCGTTTCCCTATAACCTCCAACATTGAAGGGTGCCCAGGCTCAGTCCTCAGGCCCCATTGTCTTCTCCATATTCATTCACTAGTTGATGTCATCCCGTCCCAAGGATTTAAGTATCCACTATATACTGTCAGGTCCCATGATTATATCTCCAGACCTGACCTCCCCCAGGATCACGAAACTCTTTACGTCCAATAGCCCACCCAGAATCTATACGTGGATATTAATTATCTCAAACTTCCTGTGCTTTCCACTGCATTCTACCCCAGCCAGCACCATTCCCTGTCTTCCTTATCGCAATAAACGGCAGTACCATACTTCCAGTTGCTTAGACCAAAATCCTTAAAGTTATCCTTTGTGTCTGTCATCCTTACAGCCAAGCTTTGAACAAATCCCATTGACTTTATCTTCAAAATATGTTAGAAATCTGAACAGTTTCCAGTATCCCCGCCATTCTCACCCGGGTCTTAGGCACTACCCTCCTCACTGGTTTCCTTGCTTCCGGCTCCTGCCCTTGCCCCAAATAGTACATCCTCAGCACAGCAGAAGGAGAAAGCTGTCCTTTTGTGACTTCACATGGATTATATCGCTTCTGTGCTCAAACAGTCTAACGGTTGCCCATCTTATTCAGAAAGAAAGCCAGAGCTTCAGGAGGGGCTATGAGGCTGGGCTTGGTCTAACTCTCTCATTACTGCTTTGATCTCATGACCACATTTTCCCATACTTCAGCTAGATGGATCTAGGTTGGTCTACAAATGCAGCTGCACATTTCTGCCTTACTTCTTTGCACTTACAGTTCCCACTGCCTGGGACGCCTTTCTCCAGAAAGCTGATTAGCCAGCTCCCTGATGGCTTTTCCCTTCCTACTCAAATGTCACATTGTTGGAAAGACCTTCCTCTACCTTCCTGTATAAAATATAACTTTCCTGACCCCCCACAACCTTACTTCCCAGCTCTCTATGTCTTTCTCTGCTTTGTCGTTTTCCATAGCCTGTTTCAACACCGGAAGTACTCAATATTTACTGGCTTGTTTATTACCTATCTATCTCTCCACCCTGCCAGAATTAAGCTTCACAAGAGGAGGGACTTTATTATTTTACTGTATCCCAAGTACCTACAACAGTTTCTAACACCTGGTGGGCACTAGACCAATATTTGTTTCATGAATGAAAGGAGATTCATCTTTATTACTCTGAGAATGTGAATACAAGTTAATAATGGGAAAGAGAATTAGGTCTTTGTGGTCACATCCATACTTTCCTTCATTTTCTGCTATTCTCCTGAACTAAACACATCCAAAGCAATCAAAAACACCTTCAAATTGTATATCTTTGTCGTAAGACACTTTAAAGACTTCATTGAAAAGCTATACCTTAAAAAATGTGTGTAAGATGCCTCCTTCCGCTCCATACTGGAGTCCAGCAGCAACTACGTAAGTTGAAAATTTTCTGGACTATTAGATAAAATACAGGAAAAAAAGGTGAATGTAACATTATTAATCATATTGAACCAGATTATTTTAGTAGTTAAAACGGACACTTTCAGAGCTTCCGTCAACTCTGGCAGGTAACTGAGGTACTGTTTGGGATAGAAACCGTATCTCCTAAAGGGGGAAACACTACCCCCACACTATTCAGGAACACTTCTGACCACTATTAATTTTTTTTGTTTGTTTTTTGGAGACAGAGTCTCATTCTGTTGCCTATGCTGGAGTGCACTGGCGCGATCTCGGCTCACTGCAACCTCCACCTCCCGGGTTCAAGCAATTCTCCTGCCTCAGCCTCCCGAGTAGCTGGGACTACAGACATACACCATCACGCTCTGCTAATTTTCTGTATTGTAGTAGAGACAGGGTCTCACTATGTTGCCCAGGCTGGTCTTGAACCCCTGAGCTCAGGCAATCTGCTTGCCTTGAGCTCCCAAGATGCTAGTCTTACAGGTCTGAGCCACGGTGCCTGGCCTCACTATTAAAATATAACAGGGTCTCCTAATTAAATTAAAGCCAGAGTTTTTGTGAAACCCTAATATCTGTAAGTCTATGCTGGGCACTGAGTGGGAAAAGAAGATAGAAAAACAGGTCTTTCCATGAGGATCTTTAATGATCTAGTAGGAAGGGAGACATAACAAATGAAACCAGGGAGCTGGTAATGGGCCTTAACACAGGACGGAAATGCACACGGATTGTCCACTTCACCCTGGATGAGCAGTTTAGGCAGTGAAGGAACTGGCCTCAATATTTATTTATTTTTAATTTTTGTGGGTACATAGTAGGCATACATATGTATGAGCTGCATGAGATGTTTTGATATAGGCACGCAGTGTGAAATAAGCACATCATGGAGAATGGGGTATCCATCCCTTCAAACATTTATCCATTGAGTTACAAACACTCCAATTACACTCTTTATTTTAAAACCTACAGTTCAGTTATTACTGACTATGGTCACCCTGTTGTGATATCAAATAGTAGGTCTCATTCATTTTTTCTAACCGTTTTGTACTCATGAATTATCCCTCCCTCCCCCTACCCCCCACTTCTCTTCTCAGACTCTACTCTCTGCCTCAGCATTCAGCCAGATAAGCTCAAAATACCGTCTTTATTACTGATAGGAGTTCTACTGAAGGACATGCGTTAGGTGAGCCATGACAATGAGCTTCCTAACCCCGAATCATATTGAACCAGATTATTCTCTACACAGAAAAAGAATAAGATGAACTTTTCCAACCAGTCCCAGGCAACCAACACTGGACAACTAGGGACTTCTTCATATGGCGGCCTGCTGCTGTGAGTCTCAGGGTATGAAGAAGGTGAAATACACAGTAGCTGCCATTCCCAGAGAGAAGGGAAGGAGGAAGGGGCCAAGCTCACATGGCCAGGCCCTTCCCAAACCCACCAATCAGAAAACTTGCTTGAGCTTCTTCAGGCCAACCAGGAGGTTTTTTGTTTGCTTGTTTGTTTGAGACAGAGTTTTACTCCCGTTGCCCAGGCTGGAGTGCAGTAACATGATCTAGGCTCACTGGAACCTTGGCCTCCTGGGTTCAAGCAATTCTCCTGCCTCATCCTCCCAAGTAGCTGAGATTACAGGCTAGAACCACCATACCCATCTAATTTTTGTACTTTTAGTAGAGACAGGATTTCGCCATGTTGGCCAGGCTGGTCTTGAACTCCTGACCTCAAGTGATCTTCTCGCTCAGCCAAAGTACTGGGATTGCAGGTGTGAGCCACTGTGCCCAACCATTTTAGGAAGAATGTTATTCAGGTTCTTGTGGGAAGGTCACAAACATTAGGCTTAAAAAGGGGGACATAACCACAGGTACAACAGAGATTTTAAAAATTATGAGAGACTTACGGACAACTTCATGCCAATTAATTTGAAGATTTAGCTTAAAGGGTTCATTTTTTGCCCCCAGACTCCTGCTAACTGCCTTCCCACAGTCCAAGACAGTTTTCAACCAAAGTCTACCGAACAGTCCAAGGCTAAGTCCAGAGACAGAGCAAGATGGCGGGACGGAAATCTCCCCCGAAAAGACAAGAAGAAGTCTCTACACAGAAGAAACAGCTTCATAAGACCCAAGAATCAGGTGAGCCCCCATAGTACCTATTTTAACTTCTTACCGCTGGAAGAGGCACTCAAGAACCAGAAAAAACAGTTCGGAATTGCCAAAGCCACCTGCCCCCATGAACAAGAGAGCATTTCTGAGCGCTGCAGGAGGGAGAACAGAGCAACCGAGAGGTACTGAACTCAGCGCTGTCCTGTTAGAGCAGGAAGGAAACCCAGGCCAAGCATAGCAGAGGCCAGCCTGGCCCAAGGAGGGAGCATTTAAACTAGCCCTGTCAGAGCGGGGTCTCTGGTACCAGCAGTCGGAGCTGAAGTGCCTCCAAGCAAACTTGAAAGACAATCCAGGCCCTAAGGACTGCAAGTCTTAGGCGAGTTCCAGTGCTGAGAGAGGCCCAGAGACAGTGGACTGCGGAGGGCACGCAACATACCGAGACACCAGCTGGGGCAGCCAAGGGAGAGCTAGCACCAACTCGCTTCTAACCCCAGGCTGCACAGCTCATGCCTCCAAGAGACCCCTTCCTTCTGCTTGAGGAGCAGAGTGGACAGAGTGGGGAGGACTTTGTCTTGCATCTAGGACACCAGCTCAGTCACAGCAGGAAAGGGCACTGCTGAGCAGTGAGGCCTCATTCTAGGCCTAGCTCCCAGGTGACATTTCTAGACACACCCTGGGCCAGAAGGGAACCTATTGCCTCGAAGGAAAGGACCTAGTCCTGGCTGCATTCATCACCTGCTCACTGAAGAGCTCTTGGGCCCTGAATAACCAGCAGTGATACCCACGTACTATGTTGAGGGCCTTGGATGAGCCTTGCTGGCTTCAGGTGAGATTCAGCATTTACCCAGCTGTGCTGACGATGGGACAAAGCTCCTTCTGCTTGAGAAAAGCAGAGGGAACAGTAAAGGGGACTTTGTCTCGTGCCTTAGGTGCCAGCATGGCCAAAGTGGGGTAGAGCACCAAGTGGGCTCTTGGGGTTCCTACCATGACCTGACTCTTGAATGGCATTTCTGGACCTGCCCTGGGCCAGAGAGGAGCCCACTTCCCTGAAGGGTGAGTCCCAGGCCAGACAGCAGCCAAGACCGGCTGACTTAAAGAGACCTGGGTCCCTAAGGGAATATCAGCGCTAGTCTAGCAGTACTCCTTGTGGCCTGGGGTAGCTACTGGGTGAGGCTTCTCTGCCTTTGGAAAGAAGAGGGAAGACTGGGAAGGACTTGTCTTGTGGTTTCAGTGCTAGCTCAGCCGCAATACAATAGAACACCAGGGAGACTTCTAAGGTTTATCACTCTTGTCCCTGACCCCTAGAAGGCACTTCTGGACCCACCTGGGGCCTGGGGGACCTTGCCACCCTGAAGGGAAGGACACAGGCCAGGGTGGTTATGCCACCTGCTGATTGTAGAACCCCGGAGCCCTGAGTGAACACAGACAGTAACCAGGGAGCGGTTACAGCAGGCCTTGGGTGACACTGAGTGCTGTGCTGGCTTCAGGTCTGACCTAATATAGTCATAGTAGTTGTGACTACAGGGGTGCCTGTATCATTCTACCCCCCAGCTTCAGGTGGCTTAGAACGGAGAGAGAGAGAGAGAGAGAGAGAGCGAGAGACAGACTCGGTATGTTTGGGAGAATGTAAGGGAAGAGAACAAGAATCTGCCTGGTGATCCAGAGAATTCTTCCAGGTATAGTCTAAGACTATCAAGGGGATACCTCTATGAGTCTGCAGAAACCACAGCATTACTGGCTTGGGGTGTCCCCTAAAGCAGATACAACACAGATCATAGTACCCAAGTCCTTTCAAGTATCTGGAATGGCTTCCCAAGAGGGACAGGTACAAACAAGCCCAGACAGTAAAGACTACAATAAATACCTAACTCTTCAATACCCAGACACTGAAGAACATCTGATAGCATCAGTACCATCCAGGAAAGCATGACCTCACCAAATGAACTAAATAAGGCACTGGGGACCAATCCTGGCAAAACAGAGACATGTGACCTTTCAGACAGAGAATTCAAAACAGCTGCGTTGAGGAAACTCAAAGAAAATCAAGATAACACAGAGAAACAATTCAGAATTCCATCAGATGAATTTATTTTATTATTATTATTTTGAGACGCAGTCTGCTCTGTCGCCCAGGCTGGAGTGCAGTGGCACGATCTCAGCTCACTGCAGCCTCCGCTGCCTGGGTTCAAGCAATTCTCCTGCCTCAGCCTCCCAAGTAGCTGGGATTACAGGCATATGCCACCATGCTTGGTTAATTTTTGTATTTTTTAGCAGAGAGGGGGTTTAACCATGTTGGTTAGGCTGGTCTCAAACTCCTGACCTTGTGATCTGCCTGCCTCAGCCTCCCAAAGTGCTGGGATTACAGGCCCCATCAGATGAATTTAACAAAGAGATTGAAATAATTTTAAAAACTCAAGCAGAAACTCCAGAGCTGAAAAATGCAATTGCCATATTGAAGGATGAATCAGAGTCCTTTAATAGCAAAATTGATCAAAGAAGAAAGAGTGAGCTTGAAAATTCCCTATTAAAAAATATAGTCAGAGGAGACAAAAGAAAGGAAAAACAATGAAATATGTCTACAAGATGTAGAAAATTGCCTGAAAAGGGCACCTCTGAGAGTTATTGGCCTTTAAGAGGAAGTTGAGTAAGAGATAGGTGTAGACAGTTTATTCAAAGGGATAATAGCAGAGAACTTCTCAAATCTAGAGAAAGATATCAATATCCAAGTACAAGAAGTTTACAGAACACTAAGCAGATCTGACTGAACAACATGATATGGGGTCTGTGTTCCTGCCCACATCTCATGTCGAATTGTAATCCCCAGTATTGGAAGAGGGGCCTTGTGGGAGGTGATTGGTTCATGGGGCCGGATTTACCCCTTGCTATTCTTGTAATAGTAAG